TCCCCTCTCAATTTTGCTGTTGTTACATTTACCTTAAACGCTGTGTGTTGTTCCGTAGAAGAAATTACGTAGGAATCTTTCTCACTTATTTATGTGCTCGTTTGACGGTAAAAAAAAAGACTATTAACTAAAGTTTGCGCAATTTTCCCCTAAAACAGCTGTGCGTCCAATCAGGATTACTACCTCGATAACACGTAAGTAAAATAACTCAATATTAGTGGTCAGGATAACACACTGTAATATCTGCTTCCGTCCTACCGTCAATTTACATTGTATTCATGCATTCCTGAAAAAAAAATTGCTCGCATTAAAGTTATTTTAGGAAATCTTGCTTTTTGAATTGAAGAGGGCAGTCTTGAAGTTGACTACTGATGACGCCGCGTCAAATTCTTAATGGAATTTGGGACAGAGTTATTAAAAACAGTATCGAAATTTCTTCTAAGAAAAGAATATGAACTTTCGTGCATAGCATGGCTGCCCAGTCTGTTTCTGATGTTCTTTGTTAGCTCGCTTTTTTCAGAGCAAGTTCTTTGGTGACGACAAAACGAAGAAATACACATCTCTGAGTTCACTTCGAAACAAAAAATTTAACATCACGATCCATGGATCTTTTAGGAGTATACCTATATCTATTTGGTCAAAATGTTGACCTTGTTGACATGTTAACTAATACAATATAGAGAAAGGATTGTCTCGCATCAATTTTTACCCTCAAACGATACCCTTGTAGGCTTGAAATTTACGTTTATTATCGAAACTAAGGTCCAATAACCTTTTCTTTCGCATGTTTGTCCTTCAGTCCAGAGGATAGGATGTTACAAAGACACCTGGCGCAGAGCCATCCCTATAATTGAAGGCCGAAGCCCGTTCTTAAGAGGAAACTATCAACGAAGAAAATACGCCATTCGAAAATGTGCGTTAGTCGCCATAAAACGTGGCTACTCCTACATGGGAGTCCAACATGGCGGGCAGTGTGCATCCGGGCGTTATGCCTATAAAACATATGCTAAGTATGGCCGGTCAAACAGATGTAGGAATGGAAAAGGAGGAGCTTGGGCTAATG